TCGCTCCAAAACTGGATGAAAGAGCAGGAGGAAACTGGTCAGAGAGGCTAAGAGGCCTACAGCAACTCTGAAGCAGTTGCAGGAATTTATGACAAAGAGTGGTCATCGTGTGCATGTGACAACAATATTATACATTTTCCACAAATGTGGCTTGTATGGGAGGGTTGCAAGAAAAAAAGTCACTCCTCAAGAAAGGCCACATGCAGTCACGACTGAGCTTTGCCAAAACACACCTTGAAGATTCTGAGGCAGATGAGACTAAAATTTAATTATTTGGCATCAACACCGAATGATATGTCTCGCAGAAATCCAATACAGCTCACCATCCAAATAACAGCATTCCTACAGTAAAGCATGGAGGTGGTAATATCCTGTGATGGGGTGTTTCTCTGCAGCAGGGCCTGAAGCACTTGTCAGGATAGAAGGAAAAATGGATGGGGCAAAATAACGTCAAATTAATATAAAATCAAGTAAGTAAATACAGCTGGATTAAACAAAAACTTTGTCCATCTTCATTTCAGGCTGCAAAGCAACAAAATGTAATTATTTTAAAGGGGGGTGATTTCTTTTCTATACCCACTGTATATATACTGTATACTGTGTATATATATCTTCAGACTGCAGCTTGGTTATAGCAGACCGGGTCATGAATTGTTTTTTACATTTTTTAGGTGGGTGTTCATGTATGAGAAAGGCTACCAGATAGTAGATATTGCCATAAGCTCCATCTTCACCAAGATGAAGGGAGTGTCCTTCACAAATATCAGCGAAAAGGAGCGGATATGGGATGCAGCTGATTATGTTTTTCCTGAACAGGTGGGTTGTGTCTCCTCATTTTGGCCTCAGAACTGAAAACTTCAGAAGCACTAATTTATATACATGGGTATCATTATCTTTTCTTTAGTTTTATTATTATTTCAAAAATGAAGAAATATGTATTTGAATGCAGATGTAGGCTACTGAATGGTAATTGTCCATCCACTAAATTTCATGTTATGCTTCCTGAGTGTAAACATGCTTATATTGGTATAAGAGTCATTATGGCTGTGAATTTGGCCTAATCACAGATAAACGTACTCTACTCTTATTGTGTAAACATCTGCAGACACACGCGGGTTATTCTCACCCTGACTGAGAAAGTGCTGACATTGTCACAGCAAGTAAACATCTATATTGTATTTAGAAGGGTAATACTTTAAACAATATGACACCGTAGTTGATTGTAAAGTTCTTGTAACGTTTTTTTTTTAATAAATTAAAAATGTCTGCCATTATTTACTTTATGCCAACAGCCTGCAGCAGTTTCAGAATGTGAACTTATTTCGCAGAAAGCACCCAGTGCAATAAGAAAGCGACAGACTGTTGACAGAGAAGTAAACGCGTCATCACTCAGCAATCAAAGGAGTGGCTCTAGGAGCTACTTGGAGTCAAATAATATCATCCAAAAAAGCAAATATCAAAATGTTCATCACGATAACAAATATCAGCGCTTTTGTGCACACACACACACACACACACTGGGTTTTCATGTTATACTGAGACTTTCTATAGACATGATTTTTATACTGTACAAACTGTATATTCTATCCACCAACCTTAAACACAGCCCTCACAGAAAATTTAATTGATCAAGAGTGATGGTAAAGACATTTTATAATGTTACCTATACCTATATATTTCTGTACTTACTCTAAGATTCTGCACAAAAACTCTTGTGTTAATGACCATTACAAATAAATAAATAAATCACTGGTGTTATTGAGTACAGGTTGCTGCCACTAAGCTAACAGTGCTAGCAGAGCAGAGACATGAGAGATGGAATGACACTCAGACTATTTAAGGCTGAGGTTAAACGGTTTAGGTTTTGGTTTGAAAAAAGGACATTCATCATGTCATGCAGGGGTGTCAAAAACAGTAACCTGAAGTCAAGCAAGCACAGTCAGTTTCAAAAACTCAATTTCTTATGCAACCACTAATAGACAAAGGATGTACTGTAAATTCAACATGGCACTCTGGCACTCTGTTCTGTAGCCATCCGCATACTGGTTTGAGCTTAGAGACTGAAACTACATATGGTCATGTGTAAGCCTTCAAGTCCTTTCTGTTCCTTTTTCCAGGGTGACTCGTCTTTTGTTGTGATGACGAACTACATTGCCACTGTGGGACAGAAACAGGACAAATGTCCTGAGGTAGGTAAATGTCTTTCTCTCCTTCCCTCATCTCTATTGGCTTTCATAAGCGTGACTCTCATAATTGTTTGTTTATTTCTCTAGGATCTCTATATGAGTCATATCCTGACTATCTTTCCCCCCAGTTAAAATACAGTTGCCGGTTTCTCAGAAATAAGGGGCGAGGGCCGTCATGCACCAGGCAGTCCTGGCTCGAGACCAAACTAAAACTTAATCCAAATTATGAATAATAAATAATAAATGAATTCAAATTAATTGAAAACTAGTAGTGAAGGTTTCATTTAGTGTGCATGGAAAACTGTGATCAAATCAACATTTTATTTATTTTTTATTTTTTGCATTCTTCATTCACTTAAAAAATCTGAGGGCGTACATGCTTGTTTAGTTTGAATATAGTTTCCCATATAATAAGAAGTCACAATTATGGTTGTCCTGGTCATTAGAATGTTTTTTTGTAAATGCTGAAATACTGTACAAAGACAATCAGTTTTTTTACATTTCATTAGTGCCTATTTTTCTCTAGATTTATAGCATTGTTCATTAAAATGCATAAAATACAAAATAGTCTGGTCATATTATGTACAGTCACAATTCTCTAGTGTTTTCTAAGGCAAAAGCTAAACTGATATGTTTGTAGTGGTGTGTGACACTTTAGTATGATATTAAAATTGATTAACTTTTACAACAGTTGCAATGTACCAGTAAGCCAAAATCAAAGTGCAATGCATTTTAGCACTTAATTCAGTCCTTAATACATGCAAGGCAAAGACATTTTACAGTGTGGTTGATTGTCAACCACCCAAGGTTAATTTAAATCTAAAATGACATGTTAAAGAAATACAGAAAGTGGATTATTATCCTAAAAAGAAACTGAAAGTGTCACTTATTTCCCCCATAGTCCTTGGCAAACACGCATATAACCTGCAATACAATCTGTTACTTTCCAGCAAAGTAACATGACTAAATTTCCTGTACCATCTCTACATTCATTTTCCTGCTCTTGGTTTACCTCAGTCATATTTGACTTTCACTTAACTCTCTATTTGACTTTATTGCCCTACCTGCAAAGATTTGCTTAAACAAATGAGTCTCAAGAATTGAGTTTTGTGGTTATTCTGCCCCTTCTGTGCATCCCGTCTCATTTGGAACTCACATTTGCATATTTTCAACAAGCCATTTGGGGCTTAATTAAACACTAATATCCATTAAAGTGTGTTTCCTTTCCTTTGTGAATTTCAGCTGCCAGATGGGAAGAACAAATGCACTTCTGACGCACACTGTGATGAGGGCAAATACAAACGTATGGGAAATGGTAAAGTTTGAACCATTTCATTGTTCCGACAGAAGGCACCGGCGCAGCAGACTAACTTCACATCACTAGCAGCCAGGGGCAGAGGAACTCACTTGTTGAGTGTTTTTTCATGGCCATTGTATAATCCCTTTGACCCTGACTGGTAACTAAATCAATGCACCATTGATCTAAGATATGTACCGCAGAATTCAAATGATCATGGGTTAAGAAAATTGGTGCATTTGCACGTAAGCATTTGGTTTCAGCTCTACTCAGAATCAAAGGGGGCCTAATGAACTCTTACTCTCCTAACTGACAAACCTGCACATCATCAATGCTGTCGTCTCCGTAAGTCACCAACATTCATGACTAACATGCTTTGCTCTCATTCTCTAAGGCTTTTTTCTTAGCTTTCCACATCTTTGATGAATTTTACCCCATGCTTATACTGATGTCTGTAATTCCCAGAGTTCCACAGGACTCTTATCCAGATTCAGATTACTTGGTGTGACTAGCAGTTTCTATACAGCTGTTTTGCCAATTTTAAATGAATACTAATTAATATAGCAGCAACATGTTTAAGAACTGAATTTTAAAATAAACTTTCCATATCTTCACTAATTTTTATTTATTTTTAACATTTTTTTTCAGAAATCAGTTTTAAACATTCTCCAAATTGTATTTGATAATTTATAACAGGAACTACGCAAACTTATTCCACTGCTACCCAAACATAAATTTAAACTCATGTTAAATAAAGGACTGGCAAAGCTTAGTAGTAGTAGTTGGTATTAAACCCAATCAACATTGCTAATTGAAACGCCAATAGCTAATAAACACTTAACAAAAAGCTGATTTAAAACAGAAAAATACAGTCAAACCCATATTACTGACTGATATCGTGAGTTCTGTGTGGGTCACAAATACTCAAATATTGACTCAGTTTCACATGCAGCCTAGCAGAACGATTTACTCCAGGAATACAGACGTAAGTAAACAGCACTATCTCATATTGCAGAAATTCAAAGTGCCCTGACTTCCCGTCATGGGCAAATGGCACAAACTTCCAACTAACTTCACCATACAACACATATTTTCCTTAATCTTGTTACAATACTGACCCTGTGAATTCAGGGTCAAATTCACAGTTGAAAACACACAACCTTCTTGTTGTTTATGCCATGCTTCAGACTGCATATAATTTCATGCTTATTGTATCATGTCTCTGATATATATTTGATGTTCTGTGACGCAAGGGATGTGTCATATTTTATGATTACACTAAGTGTATTTTAATGGTTGTACAAAAGTTTGTCAATGTTATTCTACCAGCAAAGCAAGTGTGTGAATGTAAATGTTAAAAGAGTCGGACTGAAATCACAAACATATGACAAATTCAATTTGATGAAGGCATTCCTAAATAACTAGACTGAGAGAATCATCCTTCATGCTCATTAACTCAGAGAAAAGTTAATTTAGTAACATGAAAGTCATGGCAGCTCCTCACTGAAATATCAGTCAGTTACTAATGGAAATGGATGTGTATCAACCAAACAAATGTATTTGATTTTATCTTAATCTTCTACCCAAAAAATTAATACTTTTACATTTTAATACTTTTAAAATGTAAACATTTTAATATGAAAAATATGTCTCTGAATACCAGTTTTGAAGTATGCATTCTTGTGCTGAGAGTAAATCAAAAGTATGACATTGTTTATGTGTGTGTTTGTGCATATACAGTGGGTATCAAAAGTCTAAACCATATAGAAAATGTGGGATTCGAAGTGTTATTTAAACCTGGATTGTAAACCTGGCTAAATATATGTAAGGGTAAATGTAAATTGGTATTAAATTAGAAAAATGCAAAATCTAAGCATTTTCACAAGGGACATAAGACTTTTGGATCCTACGATGTACCCTGCCATCTCTTTGGGGCTCTCTTGTTTTGTTTCAGTCTGTTCTGATCAACACCAAAGCTCTTATACTCTACTCTTCACTTAACAGCATTACTGTCTCTCTCAGGGCACATGACGGGCAGGTGTATAAACGATACAAGTACTTGTGAGATCTACTCCTGGTGTCCAGTTGAAGATGACCGTAAAATACCAGAGTATGAATGCTTATTTTATTATTGTTGTTGATTAATTGAATCGATCACATGGAGTGTAAAACAGTAACAGTTATTGTGGCATGCCTGGACTACAATTATTGGATGTTTTTTTGTGGCATCTTTAAATTAAATTTGGGGCAGTTATGGCCTAATGGTTAGTGAGTTGGACTTGTAACCCAAAGGTTGCGGGTTCGAGTCTCGGGTCCGGCAGGAATTGTCGGTGGGGGGAGTGAATAACCAGCGCTCTCTTCCACCCTCAATACCACGACTGAGGTGAGACCCTTGAGTAAGGCACCAAACCCCCAACTGCTCCCCGGGCGCCGCAGCAATATGGCTGCCCACTGCTCTGGGTGTGTTCACAGTGTGTGTTCACTACTCACTACTGTGTATGTGCACTTGGATGGGTTAAATGCAGAGCACAAATTCTGAGTATGGGTCACCATACTTGGCCACATGTCACTTCACTTTCACTTTCACTAAATTATAAGCCCACCAAAAAAGGTTTGGTTGCCCATAGACCAGCAATGTGTTATATTTAAACCATAATGAATTGATAGATACTGTTTAAAAAAAAAAAAGCAAATACTCCTCATTCCTGAATGACTTGAACTTCATGTTTGTGTAGAAATCTTGGAAACTAAACAAAAGAATCAAATTACACTTGACAGTTGCTTTAAACGTAAAAGTATGTTTATACCTGGAGCATGTGACAGATTGTATTCAAAATTGTTTTGAATCAGCCTACAATCTCGGTCTGATCCATTTAACTTTGTGTTGTCCCTCTTATATTTCTCCGTAGCCCTCCAGTCCTGCTGACAGCAGAAAACTACACACTGTTCATCAAAAACTCGATTACCTTTCGCCAGTTTAATGTAGTAAGGTAAAATTCTATATTTTCCAAATTTTCCTTGTGGTATACTGGCAAAACCTAACAAGTAAATTCGGACGAAGGAGGATGAAATAAAAAGGAACTATTTAATTTAGAAAAGATTATTTTGAATGTGCCTTTCCTATAATCCAGTGGTTTATTGTGGTTCTAAAGATAGTCTGCATTTATTGTTTCATCCCAAATAAATTTGTGAAAAAAAGAAAATACACATTAAACAACTAAAAACAAAGCTTATTGTCTCTCTGGCATTAATAATAATTTTAGTGGATTTGCAATAAGCATCATACTGTAACAACATTAGTACAGTACATACCAATATGGCACTTTACATGTTATTGAAGGCCAGGCTTAAAATGCAACAGTTTTATCAGTTTTGTCTAATTGATGTTCTCCTCACTCTTTTTTTTTTTTTTTTTTTTCTCTCTCTAGGAGTAACTTGGTGGAGAGTGTGAATCAGAGTTACATCAATACATGTTTGTATCATCCCAAGACTGATCCACTGTGTCCTATCTTCAGACTGGGAGACATTGTTGAGCGTTCTGGGTTCAGTTTCTCAGAGATAGCTCGTGTGGTAGGTTTTTTGTCATCAATGATTGTAAATACACACACACCCACTCACACTTGTAATTAAAACATGCATTCAGTCCAGTAATTAGGATGACTTCCAAATGACTGATGTGTTGAATTGTATAGTTTACAAACTTAATAAAGATGTTGAATCATGATGTCAAATTGTAGACTACAGTATTTTGTTCTGGGTTTCCAAAGGAATTTCTGAATAACAGCAAAATAAGTAAAAAATAATCAGTAAAATAAGTCTATGCTCAACAAACCTTGAAGAGATTTTCACATTTTGTTCTATTAATGTGATTTTGCCATACAATGTTTACAGCTTTACATCTTGCTATTGTGACTATATTTCTCATATATCTTACAATTGTGACTTCTCACTATAGTAACTTTATATCTTGTAATTGTGACTTTAAAATTGAATAACTGACTTGTTGACTCACAACTTGAGTTTCTTATTTTAAACTTTATCCCAAAATGACCTAAGTTTTTTAATATAATATTTATATTAATTTATATTACGTTTTTAATAAGACTACTCTAAAAATGTGAAGGAAACCCCAAGGAGCCTATGGTTTGGAAATGCTCATATATATATATTTATAATACAAGAGTATTATTATTGTAGTGAAATATTTGACATCTGGAGAAGATTACAGAAGCATGAGATGATAATCTCCATGATATTTCCCATGTGATGTGTTAGGGTGGTGCTATAGGAGTCCTCATCGACTGGGACTGCAATCTGGACCTGAGTATCAGACACTGCAAACCAAAGTATGAATTCTATGGTCTTTATGGAACGGGGAAAAATGAGGACAAAGAAGAGAAACCATCACTGGGATACAATTTTAGGTGGGTAAGAAGGTTTAACCCATTCACCTTATGAAAACAACAGACTTTTTAATTAGACTACTCTGCGGTCCTGTGGAAGCAGAACTATAAAAGAGACGAGGAAAATGAATATTGTCCAAGTAATCTGTGATTATGCCGTGAAAAGACTTCAATATGGTCAATATTCATGTTCATTTAATACAGCTAAAATGAGAAAAGGTCAGTGGTGCTGTACTGTATTATTCCTGAGCCTGTGAGCTTTGATGGGTTCTGTAAAATAATTAATAAAAATGGTTTTGAATAACTTTAAGAATATATTAAGTGGATTCACTACTAGAATTATTATGTGATCCTGTCTGTTTTAGATATGCGAAATATTATGTGGAGAATGGGGTGGAAAAGAGAACGCTAATGAAGGTGTTTGGTGTACGGATAGACATCATTGTTCATGGACGGGTAAGCTTATTTTTTATGGATCATTCACAAAGAAATTATGGGACATGCACATTTCCATTTGTTTACAACTGTTCCTTGCAGGCAGGAAAATTTGATATCATCCCTACGTTGACGGCTATAGGCTCAGGAGTAGGAATCTTTGGAGTGGTGAGTGTCAAAGAGAATAAACTGTTATATACTTATATAAAGAGATACCTGGTAAAATTTCCTCAATTACTTTTACTCCATCTTTTGGATTCTACTGTCATGAAGGAGATGATACCAGATGTAAAAATCTTTTGTGCTGTACCATCCATGTACAAATTAAAAGATGCATTAATGTGGAACTACTGTATATTACACAGCTCTCTGAAGTACTTCAATCTGATTAGTCCACTATGATACTTTGTGGCCAAAAATGTAATAAATAAACGAATACACTACAGTTCAAAAGTTTGGGGTCAGTAAGATTTTTTTTAATGCTTTCATAAGAATTTTCTTATGTTCACCAAGGCTGCAATTATTTGATCAAAAATACAGTAGAAGCAGCAATGTTTTGAAAATTGTTAAATCGCAGGTCTATAAAATGATCTATCAGCGATAGCAAGGCTGAATGCCACATGATCCTTCAGAAACCATTGTAAGAGGTTGATTTGGTGCTCAAGAAACTTATTAATAATGTTGAAAACAGTTGTGCAGCTTAATATTTTGGTGGAAATATTTTTTTAAGTATTATTTGATGAATAGAATGTTTAAACAAACAGCATTTATTTGAAATAGAACCTTTTGTTAAAATGTTTTTTTTTTAAAGTAATTACTGTCACTTTTGATCAAATTAATGCATCCTTGCATTAGTATGGAAAAAATCATACTAACCTCAAACATTTGAATGCCAGTGTATCTGTATGTTAATGGCTCAATGACTATGTTGATGACTGGCTTGAAACTGAAACAAGAACAGGATAGATGCATCAGATTAGATAGATTCCAAGCTTACCTTTCTTTACACTTAGCTGTTAAACCACAAATTGGACTCAAAATATCCCCTAAGTGCTTTTTATCTTATTGAAATGAACTAACATTTGCTCTCATTTGTTGTTTAAGGCAACCGTTGTGTGCGATATGCTACTCCTATATTTAGTTTCAAAGCGAGATTTCTACAAAAACATGAAATTCAAGCATACAGAAATCGGGGAAGAGGTGAGTGTTGTTTTTAAATGAATAAAAGGTATTAAATATTTAATTTGAGTCAAACTTGCCTTTGTGATTGCTGGTGTGTCCCTGAGAGCTCCATGGCTAGCCAATGCTAGTTCACTACCGAAACACAAGATGGCAGCAGAGATACATAGTTTGGTGCCATGCAAAAACTGTTACTTGGGCAGATGCAGATGCAATGCAGTTTCCAAATATTTACATCAAGCTACATTCCCGTAGTGTCATTATGGAAACATCCAGGATTTAACTGTAATTAAAATGTCCAAAGCACATCTGAGGGAGTGTATGTGAGTGGAAAAGTATAACCACATCTGCGTCAGTAAGGATTTTACTTTTGATCTGTATGCACGTAGGCAGTATGCAAGACTACTGTATTCAAGTCCATGCAACACCACGGCTTCCTGTAGACATCTCTGCAGTGATAGTTACCCTAGCAACGCAGCACATTGACCATACTTGTTTCTTATATAAAGAAAGGAAAGTGAGGTCACATCTTAACCTCCAAGACTCCCACTCTAGCTGCCTTCTGAGAAAGAAACACATTGGGGTTGATAGGAGCATGGGAAATGATCTCAGATATGTATTTGCCCTTCCACAGAAGCCAGCCTTGCCCCAGTCAAAGACCGAAAGAGATCTACCGAAGGTAACATACCATTAAAATCATTTCCGCCGCAGATCCCTGTAGAATTATGGCGTATCTCCACAAACAACTTTTCAATTTTAGTTGTGGTCACAGTAATTCTGATCTTTACTGTGCACAGGAGTGAAGTCTGGATGGCTGCCATGACGACTGACTACTGCACTGAAGAGAGAGAGAGAGAGAGAGAGGATGGGGGAAGAATCCGAAGGGACATAGAAAATGATAGTTGAAAGGGAAAAAAGAGAGAGCAGAAGCGAAAGGCAAAGGGTAAAAATATATATATATATATATATATATATATTTATAATACAAGAGTATTATTATTGTAGTGAAATATTTGACATCTGGAGAAGATTACAGAAGCATGAGATGATAATCTCCATGATATTTCCCATGTGATGTGTTAGGGTGGTGCTATAGGAGTCCTCATCGACTGGGACTGCAATCTGGACCTGAGTATCAGACACTGCAAACCAAAGTATGAATTCTATGGTCTTTATGGAACGGGGAAAAATGAGGACAAAGAAGAGAAACCATCACTGGGATACAATTTTAGGTGGGTAAGAAGGTTTAACCCATTCACCTTATGAAAACAACAGACTTTTTAATTAGACTACTCTGCGGTCCTGTGGAAGCAGAACTATAAAAGAGACGAGGAAAATGAATATTGTCCAAGTAATCTGTGATTATGCCGTGAAAAGACTTCAATATGGTCAATATTCATGTTCATTTAATACAGCTAAAATGAGAAAAGGTCAGTGGTGCTGTACTGTATTATTCCTGAGCCTGTGAGCTTTGATGGGTTCTGTAAAATAATTAATAAAAATGGTTTTGAATAACTTTAAGAATATATTAAGTGGATTCACTACTAGAATTATTATGTGATCCTGTCTGTTTTAGATATGCGAAATATTATGTGGAGAATGGGGTGGAAAAGAGAACGCTAATGAAGGTGTTTGGTGTACGGATAGACATCATTGTTCATGGACGGGTAAGCTTATTTTTTATGGATCATTCACAAAGAAATTATGGGACATGCACATTTCCATTTGTTTACAACTGTTCCTTGCAGGCAGGAAAATTTGATATCATCCCTACGTTGACGGCTATAGGCTCAGGAGTAGGAATCTTTGGAGTGGTGAGTGTCAAAGAGAATAAACTGTTATATACTTATATAAAGAGATACCTGGTAAAATTTCCTCAATTACTTTTACTCCATCTTTTGGATTCTACTGTCATGAAGGAGATGATACCAGATGTAAAAATCTTTTGTGCTGTACCATCCATGTACAAATTAAAAGATGCATTAATGTGGAACTACTGTATATTACACAGCTCTCTGAAGTACTTCAATCTGATTAGTCCACTATGATACTTTGTGGCCAAAAATGTAATAAATAAACGAATACACTACAGTTCAAAAGTTTGGGGTCAGTAAGATTTTTTTTAATGCTTTCATAAGAATTTTCTTATGTTCACCAAGGCTGCAATTATTTGATCAAAAATACAGTAGAAGCAGCAATGTTTTGAAAATTGTTAAATCGCAGGTCTATAAAATGATCTATCAGCGATAGCAAGGCTGAATGCCACATGATCCTTCAGAAACCATTGTAAGAGGTTGATTTGGTGCTCAAGAAACTTATTAATAATGTTGAAAACAGTTGTGCAGCTTAATATTTTGGTGGAAATATTTTTTTAAGTATTATTTGATGAATAGAATGTTTAAACAAACAGCATTTATTTGAAATAGAACCTTTTGTTAAAATGTTTTTTTTTTAAAGTAATTACTGTCACTTTTGATCAAATTAATGCATCCTTGCATTAGTATGGAAAAAATCATACTAACCTCAAACATTTGAATGCCAGTGTATCTGTATGTTAATGGCTCAATGACTATGTTGATGACTGGCTTGAAACTGAAACAAGAACAGGATAGATGCATCAGATTAGATAGATTCCAAGCTTACCTTTCTTTACACTTAGCTGTTAAACCACAAATTGGACTCAAAATATCCCCTAAGTGCTTTTTATCTTATTGAAATGAACTAACATCTACTCTCATTTGTTAAGGCAACCGTTGTGTGCGATTTGCTCCTCCTATATTTTGTTCCAGAGAGAGATTTCTACAAAAACATGAAATTCAAGCATACAGAAATCGGGGAAGAGGTGAGTGTTGTTTTTAAATGAATAAAAGGTATTAAATATTTAATTTGAGTCAAACTTGCCTTTGTGATTGCTGGTGTGTCCCTGAGAGCTCCATGGCTAGCCAATGCTAGTTCACTACCGAAACACAAGATGGCAGCAGAGATACATAGTTTGGTGCCATGCAAAAACTGTTACTTGGGCAGATGCAGATGCAATGCAGTTTCCAAATATTTACATCAAGCTACATTCCCGTAGTGTCATTATGGAAACATCCAGGATTTAACTGTAATTAAAATGTCCAAAGCACATCTGAGGGAGTGTATGTGAGTGGAAAAGTATAACCACATCTGCGTCAGTAAGGATTTTACTTTTGATCTGTATGCACGTAGGCAGTATGCAAGACTACTGTATTCAAGTCCATGCAACACCACGGCTTCCTGTAGACATCTCTGCAGTGATAGTTACCCTAGCAACGCAGCACATTGACCATACTTGTTTCTTATATAAAGAAAGGAAAGTGAGGTCACATCTTAACCTCCAAGACTCCCACTCTAGCTGCCTTCTGAGAAAGAAACACATTGGGGTTGATAGGAGCATGGGAAATGATCTCAGATATGTATTTGCCCTTCCACAGAAGCCAGCCTTGCCCCAGTCAAAGACCGAAAGAGATCTACCGAAGGTAACATACCATTAAAATCATTTCCGCCGCAGATCCCTGTAGAATTATGGCGTATCTCCACAAACAACTTTTCAATTTTAGTTGTGGTCACAGTAATTCTGATCTTTACTGTGCACAGGAGTGAAGTCTGGATGGCTGCCATGACGACTGACTACTGCACAAGAGAGAGAGAGAGAGAGAGAGAGAGAGAGAGAGAGAGAGAGAGAAAACACCTCAACACTGGAGCTTCAACAAGACGGCTGGGAGACTTGACACAGAACTGTCAGACATCACTTTTCCTTTCTAAATAACATTTCCTTCCCAAACTACTGAGGAAAGACATTAAATCAGTGTTATGATTTAAGACATAACTAATATCCACTGAATGTGTTCATATTGAGAGGCTTAGGACTGTAAAGGTACACAATTGTATGAGGGTTTTGAGGTCTTTACAAGGTTCCCAAAGTTTTTGGCAATTACCATGTAATGTCTGGATATGTCACCCATATTCAACTCTGGATAATGTATCACCTTAAAATTGCTATTTTTATTTACTGATAGGTGTTTTGTAAAGGTTTTGTTGTTGTTTTTGTAGCAAGTCAAACTGTTGAGCCTACAATTTTTGTGAAATAAATCTTAGATGGTTAGTCAACCATATGAGGTTGAAACTAACCAGCTCTGAAAGACAGAAAGGTGAGTGATTTAGGCCTTTTGTTTTAGCTCATTCACAAAACACTGAGCCAAGAAACCTAGGATGCTCAAAGGATCTCAAAGGTCTGTTATTTTATTATTAGTACACAGCCGTCTGGACTACTTGATTTTAATGCAGCATTCAATGGTCAAATATATCAGAAACAATGACACATTCCGACCACTTATCCAGGAAACTCTTAGCTGTGCTTGTGTTCTGTCTCTAAAATTATTACTCAAATCAATATTCCATGCCCATATATTTATTTGTTTGAAAAGTAGTCATTGTTGTAAATAAAAAAAAACATTAATCAGGTAGAGTTGAGGGTTTCTGGACACTCATACAGTCTTTATAACAAATAACAAAATAGTTTGGTCACTTTAGTTTGGGGACAAATTCTCACTATTAGCTACGACTTTTGCCTCAATAAACTCCTAATTTGCTGCTTATTAATAGTTAGTAAGTAGTTGTTAAGTTTAGGTATGGAGGGGATTAAGGGATCTAAAATATGGTCATGCAGAATAAGGCATTTATATGTGCTTTCTAAGTACTAATAAGCAACCAATATGCTAGTAACATGCACGCTAATAAGCAACCAGTTAATAGTGAGAATTGGTCTCACTATTAACTGGTTACCAATAATTGAAACTCGCATGAAAATAAAACCCTTTTAGGGTGATACAAAACCCCTCTGCTTTGCACTGGCATCCTGATAACTCTGTCTGGGTTTATTTATAACTAAATTTGAGTTTTGAGTTTACTTTTTAATTAAATGATTTACAATCTTGAACAATTTTAAAATCAGACAGCACCATGAAGGATTCCTTGGTTTTATTGTGTACAAAATACTATTTTAAAGAATAGCTACTGTTATAAGTATTATTAGTAGGTAAATTTCATTGATTTTTATCACGTGCAATTGAAAGTAACAATAGAATCCTATGTGACAAAAAAACATAAAGAAGGAACCTGAGTCACCTGTGATATCTTTATTGTCTTTGATTATGTCTGTGTACAAAAAGCATGCAAAAAATAGCTTTAGATGCTTTGGTACATATTTACATAGTAAGAGTTGCATTCAGTGCTTTCTCGGGACATGCTCTTTTTTGTCTATTTTCTTAGAGTTTTTTAAACAGTTACATTCAGATCAATGCCGCAGAATACAAACGTCTATAAATAACCAGCAAAATCAGGCACTCTGACACAAATAACTGGGCAGTACATGAATCAATTCTGATATACTTTTAAATCAAGAAAGGGAAATTAAAAAAGCATAAAGCTTTGATAGCAAGAACATTTTGCAGCTACAAGGTGCCTCAAAATGGGCAATTTTCTCTCCCCTCCTTCAGAGACTCAAATAAGGGAAACTTCTGTGAATGTGGGTAGACAAATGATCAAACCTCATCTATTGCACATGAGCCGAACCCAGAAAAGAAAATAAAGCCTTCACACTTGAGTTGATTGCTCAGACTGAGGTATGGCATATTGGCTGCTGCATATGTTTAGCTTATACAAAAGTCCTGCAGGAAACAATTTAAAGGGGGTTTAGACATTATTTGTTTTGTCTCACATAGATATAAAAAGGAATAGCAAACCTAGGGAGAAGTTTGTAAAAGGTTATAGCAAGTTCAGGGACATGCCGTTCGTCAAGACACTAACATGTGCATAGCATACATCAAGAAATAAGTGACAAGACTACTGTACATTTGAGACAGAATGGACAAATGCGATTACACACCCACATATATAAGAGAAGAATGGGGATCATTTAAAGCCATTTGATGAATTTATAAATACACCTTAGAGCTCCTGAACACAGAATATGCTACTCCATTCTCTCTGTATTCTCAGAACAGCAGTGTCCAGACCCTGAGTACCACATACAGAATCTCAATACACAACAGAAACGAGACTCCATTTAATGCCTGAATCAAATACTCCATACAGACAGAACCACTAGTTGTTTGGCACTGAAAATGGTTTTCCTGTGTAATTCAGTTTAAAGAGAAAATGGTATGGGCATAATGCTATCTACAAAGAGTGTGTGCGTAAAAGAGGGTCATCGAGAGAAAGAGAGATGGGGGAAGACAGTGAAGAAGGGAAGATTGTGTAGGAGTCAGAAAAATGGACCACCATCTGCTCAGGATATTAGTGAGAATATAATGAAAGTGGTCCACTGCGGTTTATCAATTCGTCTTCATATAAGCAAAAATTTGTCCTCTAAATGAGTGACATCGGTTAAAGGTTTCCTGTAAGCATTCGCTGCTTACATAAACAGTTTACTGGAAATAATTGACAGCTGACCTGATTGAGTCCAGTTTTATTATTGTAAAATTAATTAAAGGGGCAGTTCACCCTGAAATAGTCAAAGCTGCACTTTTCCGTATGAAAGAGGAATGGTGACCCATCCAATATCATTACATATGAAATAAGCAGCTTGGACATCCTACTAAATATCTCCTTCCGTGTTTCACACGGAAAAAGAAAGTAATAGTTTGGAATGATATGAGGGTGAAGGCCTGTTCTCACCAAGATGAATATTTGGTATGATAAAGATTAATTTGAATGAACGGCTATTAAAGGCACAATATGTAATGTTCGCCGCTAGAGGGCGCGTATTCAAAATAAACAAAGAGGCAAAGGCGTAGTTTGATGAGCTGTGACTGAGTGTGGAATCATGGGAGTTATCGTCTTCATCACCACAGCCGATGCAATCCGACGGGACTCGGGCAGAACATTTGAAAGTTCTGTTATTATGCTACTCTGTGCGGTCGTCACCAGTCTAATAAAACGCACAACATATTAAAGCGTCTTTGGTGTTTCCATGTTTTCTACAAAACAAAACCGGAAATCGAGGGGTTATGACGTCATTGGCAGGCGACACAATGACTCTATGGAAACGGTCCGCGTCACTAGTTAAAATTGCTTATTTCTCTGTATTTAAACATTCTTCGAAACATTTGGGATAGTGTAAGTACACAAGTCAGTAAAACGTATAACACTGTTCTAGTGGTTTTTGGATATTTTAATAAAAAAATCTTACATATTGTGCTTTTAATGCACCTCTTTAGACTGACACAAACATTTGTATGCTGACAATGCAACTTTTTTTTTTTTTTTTAATGACGAGATGCTGTAATCTCTCTTCCATTGCACTGCAAAGAAAACTGGCCAACCAATAAGATTTGCACTTCTGATCATGTCAAGAGCTGCTGCTGTTACATAAAACATGATTTGGTTGTGCTCACGAACAAACTATTTTGCTAAGCAAATGTGAATTATAGACAAAGAATCCAGTGTCGTTTGGTAATCACCATAATAAATAAAAAAATCGGAATGGCTGCTCGAAAACATGTAAATACTGTTTGACTGCCTTTCTTCTATGTGACAACTGGGTGTTAGTAATGAAAAACTGCACAGCACTTATAATACCAAAATAACTGGGATATTTCTGCTTTTTAACAGCACCACCTATTTAATAGAGTAAATTCTGTCATTTTCATTCAACCTGTCTGCCTTTTTTTAAGCATGGGTCTGAACAGACAAATTGCATACAAAATTCAGACCAAATTTTTGTGCCAAACATTTGTGGTGGTGTGAATTGACCTTGAGAAAATGACAACAGTATTTAATTTTTGGGTCAACTGTCCTTTTAAAAGTGAAACACGCTCAGTGAGAGTTTCACAACAATAAAAATCGAATTATTATGAGTGCTCTGTGCTGGTAATCAAATATCTCAATCGCCACTGTGCATTTACAATGATCGTCCACACAGAAACTCTTTGTACTTTCAATACGTGATTCAAAAACTGGGCATGATGGGTTCGCCTGACAAGACAATCCGATGTAAACAAGGGTGTATTGTTTTGGACGGAGTTAATACAGGCCGAGAGGGACCGTGATGACATTGAATGACAGTTCACTTTCATTCCACAGCTAAACACCATATTCAGATCCTTCCCTCAATTGGCTTGTCTGTTTTGAGTGAAAGTGACTCCCTCTCTTTCTGCATCAGCGCACACTCGCTTGCCTCGGTGGCATGTTTCCATGTGTGTTCGAGGGCCCGTTAGCACTGCTGACTGACAAATAGGCTTTTTGGAATGTGAAGACTCAGTAAACAATGACACATTTTGTTCCAGCAGAGAGACAAAGCACTGCGACACAAGAGCCCTGTATCTGCTGCAATCCGAATGCAGGATTTGCGACATTCACAAACATGGAAAATAAGCCCTATTCTAGATAACGGTTATACCGAGCGCTCAAACACGCTGTATGTTTAATGAGAAAGCCCTGTTTTCAAGAATTGACTGAATGTGCAGACAAGAGCCTCTTTTAGTGTCTAGTAGTTACATAAGCCCCTTTGATTCACAGTACAACACTGTGTGTGTGTGTGTTTATATATTGTATCTGAATGAACTGAAAAAATCTGATGGTATGCAGAAAATTAAAAAACAACAGAGATATGGAACCACCATAATATGAAAGAGGCCATATTTCTGCATGCTATGATGGATAGGGTTAAGAATTGCATATTACCATATGCAAAAAGGCAAGATGCCATTGCTATTATTTTCTACACATGTACAGATGTTATGATGGCAGCACACTGCATCAACAGCATCACTGTTTTTAAGCTTCATGAGGTGCCACACCAAGTTAATAGCATCTTTTGTCTGTGCTGTTTTAAAGCTTATGGTGTAGTCTGTCTTTCACAAAAACCTGGCCTAATATAGATTCCATCCAAAATCTATTTGTTTAGCCAGAATGAGAGAACAAAGGTGGAAAGATCCAAATGGGATGAAGGAGAAAGAATAGTTTTCCACCACATTATCAAGGCCAGGTTTCATGAGAACCATAGGCAGGTAAAGTGATTCTTGTGCAAGAACTGACAAAAGTGAAAAGCCTGAAGGATGACTAGCAACATCAGAATCCAGTTCAATGTAAAGGTAAGCCTTAAATCTGTGGAAACAGTGTAGTGGAGTGGTTTGGGTCATGATCATCTGCTCAAAGGGCTGGAAGGACAATGAGGAACACTTCAGGATCTATGAAGACACTCAAGAGGTGGGTGGTTCGTCCTCATGCAAGTCCTCGAGCTCAACTTCTCTACCAGCCTCTCCACTGCTCCCCTTTCTGAGAGAGAAAGAAAAACAGAGAGAGAATTTGTGAATCATTGCCTTTCTAAACGATTCCTGCTTTAATCCAGTAGATGATCTTGAAGAAGCAAATTGTTAATCTCTAATAACGGTGTCCAGTCTTGCTCCTGGAGGACCACTGTCCTGCAGAGTTTAGTTCCAACCCCAATAAAACACACCTGAACCAAGGTAATCAAGGTCTTCAGGATTATTAGAATGTTTTAGGTAGGTATGCTGGGACAAGATGGAGCAAAATTCTGCAGGATGTTGTCCCTCCAGGACCAGGATCGGACACCTATTAAGTCTGGCTATGCCAATGAAGTAGTTTGAAATTTAATTGAAATGAAATTGACAGAGAGAGACTGCAAACTCAAAATGTAAGGCAACCAGCAGCAGTTTGTTTCACTTTTTATTTCATTTAGGGCAGATAAATCTGAAATCAATGATTACACAATATTAAATAATAATTAAAAAACTGCACTGTGAATGGTTTCTTAGAATAAAAAAGAGGAAATTAGCAGAAAATTTATTTTAAAATGTAAATTACATTTACATTAAAAACACTGCAGTTGACAATATCCCATTTAGTTGCTATCAAGATCCTAAAGTAAAACAATATTTTTGAAATCTTGTAAGCTTCAAACCAGCTAGTTCACATTTTTAGTTCTTTCTATTGTAGCAGGCTGGTACCTTATATAGTATGCATTACCGGTCAAAAGAAGAAAAAAAGTTAATAGTTAAAAATATAGTTGGATTGTTTTTTTTTAAAGAAATTAATGCTTTTATTCTGCAAGGATACATTAAATTGATCAAAAGTGACAGTAAAAAAATGTTGTGCTTTTGAACTTTCTATTCATCAAAAAACCTTGAAAATTTTTTTACCATGGTTTCCACAAAAATATTAAGCACTGTGTTTTTTGAGCACCAAATCAGCTAATTTGAATGATTTCTGAATGATCATGTGACACTCAGGACTGGAGTACTGGCTGCTGAAAAATTCAGCTTTGCCATCAAAAGAATAAATTGTTTTTTAAAAATATATTGAATTTTAAATTGTAATAATATTTCACAATATAACTGTTTTTACTGTATTTTTGAAATGCCTAACTTGTTTCAAAAACACACAAAAAAATCTTACCAAACCCAAAACTTTTGAACGGCAATGTATTTGTTTCAGCTGGACTCTGACTGCAGCAAAACCGAACAGGTGAGTTCAACCAGCTGATGAAGTCTATTCAGCTAAATTCTTTTTCTAAAGCACATCTAAGCACACTGATGTGACAGTACATGACTGTACAGCACATTGGTCTACCTTAATAGCATAAAACAAACAAACAAAAATCACTATGCATTTAATGTAATATGCATAATATTAAACAGGTCTGAAGCATTTGTAGGAAGACAGTCTGTGGTTGAAACTATCCAGTAATAAAGCTCTGGAAGACATTCTGTGATGGAGGAAACACATGAACATGGGAAGGTTCTCTGCAACAGACACAAATGCACACACAGGTCTCAGAATGTACATAGTGGGACTGAATGAAAGACCATGACATGAGGAGTTTCACAGGGTTGAACTCTCCTAACAGTATCACCAAATACTTTCACTGCCATGAAGCAGGAGAAATGCCACACAGGGACAGGATGGAGGCTGATATGACTCATACTTTCACTGACCCGTGGGAATGTATGGAGAAGGGCAGGGAATCTGACACAGGGCTTGAGTGACAAATGACAATGACCACCTGTTACAATGAGTTACCTTAATGAGGGCTGGAGTTTAAAAGAGGGCCGGAATGGCCAAGAGTCCCTGCAGCAGAGAAAGACAGACAGTGGAGGAAAGGGAAGAGAGCATCAGCGGTTTCATGTGAAATAAAGCGGCAGAAACCAGGTCATTATAGAGGCTCCTGTGAGTTATTGCTGGTCAGAATGCCACAGGATGTTACATTAATCGGGCACATTAGACTACATTTAAATCATGTTCTGCAGTATCAGTCAATTTATGGAAATGGTACTCATCAGATAATCTTATAAAACTGCAGTCAGAGATAGTAGACTTGCATATACTTTTAGCCTAGTGCTGTTAGAGACAGACAGCATTAGCATCAACAACTGAAGAGAGATGGATGAGCCCAGACGCTTATGAAAACTCATCAAATGCCAAGCATATTTGTCCAGGAGACAGCATTTAACCCTTGTATTTGACAAACACCAACAGGAAATATTATCAACTAACTCCAGTCTGGGCTTCATGAGCATATGAATAGGTTGCCCACAGCCAACCTGCGCTCTATGGATAAAAAATGGAAGCAATTTTTAAGGTGCTGGAGGCCAGAAAAAAGTGCTGAAATGTAATAATGTGCAGCCACATTTTCATCACAGCCAACAAATGTGTAATGATACGGCGATTTCTTTTTTCAAGCTCTGAGGCAGGGTTGGTTCAGTGATGTCCTAACCAGGCCTGAAATGACAACGTTTACACAGAAAGCAAAAAGTGACAACCAATAAGAACATATTTCATGTTTAACAACCAAATGTGATATAAATTGTGGCTGATTTTAATGTTATAGCCAATAAACAATACATTTAAGATTTAAATTGTGTACTACTGAATGTTTTTTTTTCCAATGAAATGTATATATATATATATACTGTATATAAATAAATACAAATATACATCAATATGCACATGTACAGTAAGTGTGTGTATAGGTGAAAAAGTTTATTAACGGTGCAGGAGGTAGTGTATTCAACCTGACACTGAATTATGGATGACATGCAAATGAGCACACCTGACAATTGGAGATTTAAAGAGACAGAAGGATTTTCAAAATTCTGATGATGACGTTCTACCAACTGGGGGCGCTGCTGCTTTTTATCAATTCAAACAGAAAAACACTATAACTCAGAGGCAACAACTAACTGACAAATGGCTAATAAAAAAAATTATAGAGGTAAATGAAAATACAATTTACTGCCTCTTGGAAAAGGAGGTGATCTGCGGAGTCACCGTATTGATCGACCTTGTTCCCAATCAGATTTCACCTTTGTCAACAGAGAGAGGCCACACCAAACCGGCATGTCAATTTGTTTACAGATCAAATCAAATGACCTTTCAGTTTTGATTGCACGAATAATAACTGCATACGGCACATCTGGAAAAACAACATAACCCATCGCATTCAACACTGCATTAAAATATTGGCAAGGCTGACTTTGGTCTATATGGGATGCATACAGAGTAGGGATGGGAAGATTCACCGATTCGCTCGGTGCATCGGCAAAAAAAGTTAACGATGCGATGCATCGGTTTAAAAAGTGTGCATCGGATACAAGTTGGCATTTGTATCGCGATGCATCGTTTCTAACATATTTGCATTGGTAAAAACCAATTTATTTATATATAATTACTAGTGGATGGCTACACTTTTATTGTTTAGAAAGTGACCAATAATCTGTGACCAATATTTTATATGTAGATTGATTTCTCCTCTTGAAACTGTTTCTCAAGCGCGTTCTCTCATCACGGCTGCGCGTGAATATGACGGATCACAACAACACTACAGAGACCTGCAAAATTTATTGCTAGCTACTTCATATGTATCTTCAATGTATTGTATCGTTGGCTATGCATCGAGATGCATATCGCATCTGCCTCAGTTATGGAGATGCACATCCCTAATACAGAGATAAGCAGACTGTTTGTATTGATCCAGGGCATTCAGAAGACAGGGAACAACCCTCTGTTGATTCTGACAGGCATCTAACAGACAGCACAGAGAGAGGAATAGTGAGAGAACATTCTGCTGTCCTTGAACAAACCCCCTCTAATGTGGGAAAAGCAGCAGAGTGGGGACAGAAATGACTTCATGGAGACACTTACTGTCAGTCTAGTGGGCAGATACATTAACAGCAAAAGCCTCTGAGAAAAACTGTCATAGGAGGGATGCTGCAAACATCCGGCAGAATTCAAAGAAACTGAATAATTGTTGTGACCTTTTTCGATCCTGTATATGTGAAAACATGAAAATTATCATTTAAATTAATTATTAATTAATTAAATTATTTTAAACACACACAAACACACGTTTATAATTCAATTTATAATTAAAATAATAATTGTAATTTTTTCAAACACATGTATAAATAAATTTGTATATATATATATATATATAAAAACAAAATATCAATTTATTTTTAGTTTTATTTTATATACACAACATTAACATGAAAAAGCACATAAAATGAAAAAAGTTCTATAAATAAAATATGTATATAATATTCTATATATTCTAATTTACACTGATGTCTAAGAGGAAAAAATGAAGAAAAAAGATGTCAAAACTCATTTTCCTCTTGAGTCTCATTCATCTTAGAAGTCAGAAGACACATAAGTTAATTTATGATTTGCTGTCTGTCTGAACCAAAGAAATAAATGCGATCATATTTTTTCCATTGCATCGTATTGCATCGAATCGCATTGTGTTGAATCGGATCGAATCGAAATCGGATCGCACTGCATCGTAATAGGGGTGAATCGTATCGCATCGCATCGCTAGCTACTTCATATGTATCTTCAATGTATTGTATCGTTGGCTATGCATCGAGATGCATATCGCATCTGCCTCAGTTATGGAGATGCACATCCCTAATACAGAGATAAGCAGACTGTTTGTATTGATCCAGGGCATTCAGAAGACAGGGAACAACCCTCTGTTGATTCTGACAGGCATCTAACAGACAGCACAGAGAGAGGAATAGTGAGAGAACATTCTGCTGTCCTTGAACAAACCCCCTCTAATGTGGGAAAAGCAGCAGAGTGGGGACAGAAATGACTTCATGGAGACACTTACTGTCAGTCTAGTGGGCAGATACATTAACAGCAAAAGCCTCTGAGAAAAACTGTCATAGGAGGGATGCTGCAAACATCCGGCAGAATTCAAAGAAACTGAATAATTGTTGTGACCTTTTTCGATCCTGTATATGTGAAAACATGAAAATTATCATTTAAATTAATTATTAATTAATTAAATTATTTTAAACACACACAAACACACGTTTATAATTCAATTTATAATTAAAATAATAATTGTAATTTTTTCAAACACATGTATAAATAAATTTGTATATATATATATATATATAAAAACAAAATATCAATTTATTTTTAGTTTTATTTTATATACACAACATTAACATGAAAAAGCACATAAAATGAAAAAAGTTCTATAAATAAAATATGTATATAATATTCTATATATTCTAATTTACACTGATGTCTAAGAGGAAAAAATGAAGAAAAAAGATGTCAAAACTAATTTTCCTCTTGAGTCTCATTCATCTAGAAAATATCTGAAAATGTATAAAAGATTGAATCTGAAATCTAAATGATTGATAAGGGAGTCAGCCGTCTCAGTGCAGTGCGGAGGAGAAAGTTCTAGACTGTGAAATTGTGAAAACATCAAGTCCTGGAGCTTTCAGTGCTAGTGCAAGAGAAAAAAAATACTGAATCATGCTACTATGGAAACGTATGTTGGCAGCAGGAGAAGTAATGTGTGACTATTAGCAAACCTTCCTGTTCAAACAGATAAGACATGACGTCTGAAATATCATGCTGCGACCTTGAATGTGAGAGTGAAAAAAGCAAAGAATGAAAGAGATGCAATGCTTATTTCAGTCTCTTACAAAAGGCTTGTGAGGAAAAGGAGAGTCATTTGGATCTATGAAGCTATATAAATATGGTTTCCCGTTGGTCATCGGTTGTGTTATAGTTTGTCAGTTTGGAACACTTACATGAGCAGACTGCCTGGTGCAGACATGGATCTCTCTTCTCTCCTGCTGGGACACTCAAATGGATTGCCAAAGGAACGCTTCCTTAACATGGCTTTGACCAAAATCTACAGTATCACGGGAAAGAAGGGACAACAAGATTTAGCTTACTGTATATATTAAAGAATACAGATCAGGGCATGTGGAAATACAATACATACAAATACAAAACGTGAACGGAAAAACAGCAGTCAGCTAAAAATACTCTTTGCATTTACTGAAATGTGATGGTGAGAAGGACTAAATCCATGAAAATAACCAAGGAAATTCTGACAGTTCAGAAGCAGGATCAGTTTGACACGTGGTTAGGTTTCAGTTGTTTGGTTGAGGTCAAGTGTGTCTTTACTTTCTTATTCATCTCGTTGACAGCAGTACAATGTCTTAAGCACATCTGGGCAAGGCTTACGGCCTGTGTATGTTTATGTTCATGTAGCTACAGTTCAGTAGCTCATGTATTTAATACAGAGACACCCTTGTTCTTTCTCTGTTTCACTTACCACAGCAGACAGACTTGGGACAAACTTCACTGAGTTCTGCACCTCTTCTTCAGTGACCTCCACCACGGTACAGTGCTCCTCTTCTAAAGGCAAAGGGTCAGTGCCATCCTGAGTCACCCAGGGGTCCACCTGAAGATAAACACACACACATATATAACACATGCCAACCTATCATTCCATCCATCCATTTTAGTCTTCTGTTCAATCTTCCATTTGTCTAGCCAACATCTATCCTTCTATTCATTGATTCATCCACTAATCCTTTCATTAATCCATCCATCCTGCCATTTATATGTCTGTAGATGTGTCCATACATCCATGCTTCCATCCATCCATCCACCCATCCACATGTCCATACATTTTTTCTTCCATCCATTATTCCATTCGTCCATCCATCTATTGTTTCATGTCCAGCCATCATATCCTTCCATTTATTCATCCATCTATCAGTCCATCCACCCATTTATCCATCTGTCCGTAGATCAGTTTAGACATCTTTTCTTTCATCCATCCATCCATTTATTGTTTTATCCATCTAGTCATCATCTATCCTTCCATTCATCCATCCATCTGACCATACATTTTTTCCATTCATTGGTCCATCCATCTAACCTTCTATCCATCCGTTCGTTCATTCATTCATTCTACCATAAATCCATCAAACTATCCATTCATGCTTTCATTCATCCATCCATCCATCATATGTCTATAGATCAGTCCATACATCCATTCATCTATCTATTGTTTCATCCCTCCAGCCATCATCTATCCTTCCATTCATCTATCCATTGGTCTGTCCATCCATCTTTTCTTCCACCCATCCATCCATCAAGCCATCACCTATCCTTCCATTAATCCATTCATCGATCCATCCAACCTTCTATCCATCATCCATCAATCCTCTCATCTATCCATCCATTCAAATGTCCATAGATTGTTCCATATATCCATTCTTCTATCCACCCATCAAATAAGTAAATCATTAAAGAAATAAAATATTTGTCCTACAAACACAGTTAGTCTGAAGGATATGAGAGCAGAGCTGTTGAGTGAATGTAGGCCGTGCAGCCCTGATTAACGTGTGCTCTGGGGATCGCTGCTTTAATGGAACATTTTCTGGGTAATGACATGCAGGCAGGAGTCTCTGACGGCCGAGTGTGTGTGTGTTTGTGCTAATTATTCACACTCACTGTCACACTGAGAGAGCAGATGGAAGTTTCCAGAACTGAACCAAAATCTCTGTCCATGGGGATTATCTGATGTGTTCCTGTCCAAACACCAAGTCTGCTAGATGGTGCAGAAGCTATCAGAGATACTGTGTCATATTATAACACTATCCCTGGACGTGGCTCAGGAATGGTCTTTGATAGAAACACTGTTGTTTTAAGAGTGCAGAATAATGGGACACTCTTGGGAATGCTCTTTGGACATTTCTTTTTGAGATACTGACTGTAATTTCAATATTAAGTGATGTTGTACTCTCTTGCTGGTATGCATGAAGGAAAATTCAGGTGATTTTTTTAAGGAAAAACACATTAATAAATAATCCTATCCCAATCAAAAAGGTCAAATGTGGTCATTCTTTTCAGTTTAAATAGATAAATTCCTCAGTGAATCTTTGAAACTCAATATCTTGCAATAAAGAGCTGTAAAGATGGTTAAAGGTATTACTCCTTTCCATTTTATGTAGACTTACTTTGATCTCAGGAATGGTGATCCTGGTGTCTGGGTTTTTGTCCAGCATTCGTGAGACCAGGTTCTTCAGCCTCTCACTGATGGCTGGCCTGAGATATCACAGAAACACAAGAGCAAAAAGCTGAAGCAGTAAACCAAAAACAAAACATCAGACTGTACGGCTAAACATTATTTACGTTTACATGGACATCAGTAATCTAATTATTTACCTTATTCTAAATAAGCCAATATTATGATTGTGGTGTTTACATGAGTTGCTTTTAGAATATTCCTTTCATGTTCCCGTTTTACATGTTATCCACCTTTTTCTTCAACGCGGAAGTAAGCCTATGGGTGAGACTTCCGGATCATTAACCGCTATAGGTAAATAACGAGGAGAATAACAACGTGCAGTAAACGGTAAAACTGTTTGCACTACAAACCAGTGTGTTCATAAATAAGATAATACATTAAAATAATATGATAAGACACACCAATTTTCAATATCAAGCAGCAAAACGAACTGTTTTGTACAGCTAAAAATAGCTGGATGCAGATGAGACCGGAAGCCAGACCCATAGAATTTACAAATGGCCGTGCCCATTTTTACGACAAGAAAAAGGTGGATAGCGTTTTGTTTATATCTGCACGGCTCTGAGCCCTTGAGCTCGGTAAAGCCGCATTTGACAGCCACAGTCTAATAGATTACCCCCAGATTCAATATGAAACTCTAGTAAAACAAAATAGTGATCATAATCGTGCTGAGGCTGTGTAGTTTTAAAAGTGTGTAATATATGCCGACTCGCGCATATGATCCGCACCGTGCGATCGAATTTTGTCAGTTTTGGAGCACACTGGCTTATAGATAACCTTAAGACTAACATATTGATACGAACACCCAAAAACTTTAACTAACTGCATGAATTTTACTGTACATTTCTTCGTGATGATGCCATGTACAGTTTTGGGTGTTTCATTTTTAATTTTATGAAAGCTCAAGTGCAGTTAATTATTTGTACGTGCATACAGACGACGGCGGGGTGTTGAAGCTCTTTATTTGCCGTCAAACGGTTGACCACTGCCGTGTGTGTATCCTGTTGCAAAATGCGGCGAAAAGTCCTACGCGACGGTAATAATGTGATTAAGGTGTTTACATGTCTATACTGCACTTCAGTAATGCGACTAAAATAGGAATACTCCAATTGTCTTAATTTGATTTCTGTTTACTTCGAATATGACTTTAGCCGGATTAAGGTAATCAAAAATCTCTGTTTACATGGTAGATTCTTAATCAGAGTATTGTCTTAATCGTGTTAAAATCGGAGTATTGTTGTCCATGTAATCGTACTGAGCATGCTTTTACAAGAGATGAGACACTACAGACAGAGAAACACTGTTTCAAACATACACTGACTGTCAAACGGCCTCTGTAACAATCAAGAGAGCTGAAGAGCTCAGCTGAACTAAACACAGAAGAAGAGGAGGTTGGACAGAGATAGTTAACTTACAGAAGAACATAAAAAACACAATACCTGTATGTAAGAGAAAAACACTCTACCACCTTTAATAGGTAGGGTGAGGCTAAAGGATTAATAACTAGTATCTTTAATGCTGTTATAACTTAATGTAGAGAATAAAATGGTATTGTACAGTAGACTACAGAAGCAGTACAGAAGAGCAGAGTATTTTTCTTCCTGGTACAACTATCTAAACATCCTTAATACAAGATGGATTCATATAATATCACTAGAATTGGCTGACTCTGTTGAATATATCTCTCTAATTTCTTGTTTTAAGCATAGACTTGACAAAATTTAGTGAGGTGTATGCTTAAAAAAGAAACTAAAAAAGCGAGGAGAAGAGGCAGAGTGTAACAGTTCAGTTATAGCAAATACAGTACATATACAGTACTGTATATTACTGTATATACAGTTACAGTAGAGTTTTAATACAGCACTTGGTTTAACTTTTTTCCCCCCGCCAGACAGGGAAATATCAGTTTATCTAAATACACTACCACTCAAAAGCTTGGGATCAGCAAAAAAATTATTTATTTATTTATATTTATTATTTTTTTAAAGAAATTAATATTCAGCAGGGATGTATTAACTTGATGTTCTTTTGAACATTCTATTCCTAAAATATCTGTAAGCAACACAATTGTTTTTAGCATTTATAATAATAAGAAATGTTTCCTGCACCAAATCAGCATATTAGAATGAATTCCGATATAATAATTATATATAATAATTGTCTTGCATATAATTGAGTCTCATTATATATAGCAGGATTTTCAACCAGGCATCACAACCATCCACCTCAGGAGCTTTCAAAGATTGTGATAAAGATTAAAAAATAAATAAATAAATAAAAGACTAATGAACATTAAAAATGTCTTTTAAAATAAAATGTCAAATAACAAAAATGTAATTTTTTAAACTTCTATTAAAGGGGTCATATGATGCGATTTCATTTTTTCCTTTCTCTTTAGTGTTACAAGCTCTTGGTGCATAAAGAAGATCTGTAAAGTTCGAAGCGTTTCAAAAAGGCGGGGCATAGAGGAGAAACAATAATGTACAGTATGTGGAAAATAATGTGTTTTTTTAACTTTAAACCGCATAAACACATTTCATTACACCAAATACACAAAATAATGTTCTTTTTAGCAGCATCATATGACCCCTTTAATCATCGCACTTATATGAAAGGTTAGAACATGTCAGGGCACTTCAAAATAGAAACATCTGATCATAGCTCACAAAATATTGGGAACCCCTGGTCATGTAGACATTCAGAATTTGATTCAAAATGATGACACTGTGAACAGTTAGCTCGGCCACTGTGTTAGAGAGAGACGCTCTTTCATTAGCTGATGACTTGTCCAAACACATACACCAGATCACATGTATCCGGATGGCCTCTGGCCTTCCACACACAGACAACAGACTTCATCAACATATCATTCAAACAGACTTGCATAAGCATACACGAATATCATACTAAACCAACACACATCAATAAAGCATTCAGCTCACATCGCCATACACTCAAACATCTCTGACATTTCCTCTCTCTGTATCTGCTCCTGTGAGACAGCAAATGCGTCGTAAACAGCGAGGGCCGACTTACGTCTGGGGGAACTCCACCGGCTTACTCTTGATCTTACTGTGAAGTGCCAGTATGTACTCATCAATAAATGGGCACTGGAGGACAAGGAAGAAAAACAGAGGAGAGGGAGAGGAGGGAGATGGATGAGTGATCAAAATCATCAATCACACAAATGTCACTGCAGTAGCACACTGTCCCATCCATTGATCATTCTGATAGATAATTTCACAATGAAGAATTACTGCTATCACTCTGATCATATCAGCACATGAGCTGACTCACCTTTCCATACACAAAACAGTAGAGGGTCACTCCCATAGCCCAGACATCCAGAGCCTGAAGAAAACACAACTTCTGTTTTAGTGATGCAGGAGAGTTCTACAGCTTGGAGCTATTGAAATGAATGGAATTCCTTAAAGGGACAGTTCAATCAAATTTATATTCTGTTATAATTTATTTACTCTCATGATGCACCAAACTTCTATGCCTTTCTTCTTTGTAATGCTAAACAGAATATTTTTAAGAACAAATTGATTGCTCTTTGTCATCTGACTGCAATGGCAAATGAAACTGGTTAACAAAATCTTCAGCACCGTACGTACACTACTTTTCGAAAGTGAGGGGTCTGTAATTTTTTTTAAGACTTTTATTCAGCATAGACACATTAAATTGATCAAAAGTGACAGCAAAGACATTTATTAAATTACAAAAAAAAATCTCTTTTAAACAAATGCTCTTATTTTGAACTTTCTATTCATCAAAACATTCTGATTTTGTTTTTAAACATTTATAAAAAAATAAGAAATGTTTCATTAGCACCAAATGAGCATATCAGAATGATTTCTGAAGAACCACGTGACACTAAAGACTTGGAGTAATGTCTGCTGAAAATTCAACTTTGCCATCACAGGAATAAATGGCATTTAAAAATATTTAAAATAGAAAACAGTTATTTTAAATTTTAATAATATTTCACAATATTACTGTTTTTACTGTATGTTGATCAAATAAATCCAGCCTTGGTCAGAATAAAATACTTTTTATTCTCGACCCCAAACTTTTGAACCGTCATGTAGCTCTATGACACATGAGTCCATGAGAGAAACAGCAAAGTCCCATTCATAAACAAAATGCTTATTTAAGCCAATTTTAAAGGTGCTGTACGTAATGTTTTGACTGTACTAAAGCATAAAAACACAACAATACTTTTGCAGATATTCAGAAAACATGCTAAGTTCACATACTTGTTTTTCCGAAAAACAAAGCTAAAGCCAGTTATTCTACTTGTGCATTTTGTGTCGGAATGCCTGTTTTTGTTTTGGTCTGTGTGATTCCGCCCAATGACAGTTTAACCAATAATATTTCGACAGCCTGGGTTGCCAGTTTGCAGAAAACACAGCATACTGCCATGGAAGTGAGCAAATGAACGGAGTCTGAGGTTGCAGATCTCTAACTGACCTAAAAGCCTTGGCATCCATCAAAAAAGCTCTATGACCACAGGCACATTAAAACGCAGATAAATCAACTCATCAGTTTACAGTGTAAGGTTTGTCGCCTTCCATTGTCAGTTGCACTCGTTCCTGTCACGTGTCATGAATCTGACAACTTGCTGGAGCATCACGTCTGAGGAGGAGGGGGCGGAAAGACAATATTTTGAGTTTGGACTGCAGTACCAATTTCAACCGCTAGCTGTCAATATTACATACTGCACCTTTAAGCCTAATCAGTCTGAATGATTGGCCTATCACAACACATATCAGAAAAAATCACCCCAGACACACATTACCTTTCCACTAAAGCTCTTGCGGTTGTCTGACAGCGTCTCTGGGGCCATGAAGGCAGGAGTACCAGCAGTGCTGGAGAGCAAGGCATCATTACCCTCAAACTGGTTACTGACCCCAAAATCTGCGATCTTGACATGACCGTCATCTCCAAGTAATAAATTTGATGGTTTGATATCTCTGTGAACGATCTTCTGATAGTGCACTGAGCAAAGAGAGAGAGAATATAAGTGTTATAAAATGAAAATTTATGTTTTGGGTATATCATCAAAAATAATTATAGAACAATGAGCCATTTCAAAAGTGCAGTTTGCTGACAATTAGCTTTAAATCTCAGAATTTACAAAACAAATGTTATATTTAAACGAAGGTTCATGTGAGGATCAATCTTCTCATTGCAACACCAGAATACTGTATTGTATGTTTCATCTATGATTAATTGTGATCACCTGGCCTAGCAGGAAATCAGAAAAAATTAACTGTGTTTTGGATGTTTAATGATATTAAAGTTTAATAAAGTTACTAAGTTGAGCACAGCCAGTGAAGAGGAGGTACAAAATCAAGTGTGTCTGACAGCAGGAGCTCTCAGCTTAACTACGGAACCGCAGACAGGTTCAAGAAGGTCACTCTGGGCCGTGCACACAGAAGATGAACTTGATTGGTTAATAGATGCTTTCCTGTCTCAAGTGGCCAATCAAAGATAACCTGCCCATCACTTATCATCTTTCAGTCATCTGCCATTACTGGTTATATGTGACAAGAGCCACGTCTCAGACATCTTCAGATGACACGCATGGTAATGAAAAAAGAAAATTCATAAAGGAACAAAGACGTGTTCAAAGTATTAGCAGGTTATTGCATATAATTATTTCATCAAAGTCAGCAAGCAAGGTGAATGTGACACATGGAGTATGCCACAGTTCATGTAAGGAGTCTCTCAAGGCCTGCAAAGTGAAGGAGTATGACACACACACACACATTTCTTAGATTACTATTAATTAATTCTATTGACATGGTTCCCTGAGGTAACTAGCATAGTGCTAATGAAATGAATGGAATATGGACACATACTCTGATTCCAGTCCACGAATTACCGACACACACACACACACACACAAAGAAGTTCATTGTTAACACAGACTGATTTGTGGCGAATCATGCAAATGGCCTGTTGCCATCCAGACGGTTGCCACAGCGAGTGTCGCCTGGTTAATAAGATTCAAATGAATTGATGAAAGCTGAGTTTCCACGCGATGAACAGAACAGACACTTGGCAATCAACTCTTTGTTTAAACTACTATCTTGTTTAAAGGCTCAATACAATTTAAGCTCAGTCAACATATATGTTGATCATTATAAAAAAGTTATTTAGACTTGTCCCTTGTTTTCTTTCAAAAAAGCAAAAATCTATGTCATGATGACACTAACAATGGAAGTGAATAGAGACAATTTTTCAAGGATTTCTTTGTAAATGCCTCACTGTAACCCAGATTTTTTTTTTTTTAAGAAACAAGTAACAATTAAAGGGATAGTTCATCTAAACATAAACATTCAGTCATTCACTCACCCCCATGTCCTTCCAAACCTATGATATTCTTTCTTCCGTAGAACATAAAAGAAGACATTGAGTGTTTTTTATACACAATGGAAGGCAATGGGTCCCGAAAATGTTTGGTTACAAACAATCTTAAGAATATTTCCTTTTGTGTTCCACCGAAGAAGGAAAGTCATACCGATCTGGAAAGACAAGAGGGTGTATAAAAAATGACAATTTTAATTCTTGGGTGAACTACCGCTTTAATTTTTGTGGTGACATTATGCAACAAATGCTGTCGATTGAGCTTAACTTTTACTGCACCCAGAATATTCCTTTAACCGTCAGTATGTAATTATTGAAATGTTGCAACATAAAATCTAATTTCTTCTTTTGACAGATGAGAGAAGATCAGAACGCCCTTTAGAAATAGCACAGACTTGTTTTCATCAGGATATGATGACCTCCCCCACGCACAAATACATGAGCGCACTGCCACATGCGCTCACTTCATTAGCCGAAAAGGATGCCATGATGCGTTATACAACAAACACAGAGCTGTTCCTTGAGATAGAACTCGCTTGGGTCTTTATTTTTACATAAGTAATGATTAATGTCAGGCGCTCATCTGTAGGAGTTTGCTTCGCTCTTCTCTACTGGGATTTATTTAACTTCAGACACTCTGTTTCAAAGTCCATGTCAAAGTGGTCTCCTTAAAAACTAAAAATGGAACCCAGTGAGGTCAACCCAGCAATTTGAAAATGTTTTTTAAAATAAAGGAAATGACTCACAGTACTCGATGCCCAAAACAATGTCTCTGAAGTAGTGGCGGGCCTGGTCCTCACTGAACGGATTGTCGCTGGGGACCTCCATCACAGGGCTGGTGAGCAATGGAGACACTTTATTGTAAGTTAACTGATAAAGTACACTCTAAAAAATGCAGGGTTGTTTCAACCCAACTTTTTCAAATATTAAGTCAAATATGGACTAACCCAACTTTTGGGTTAAAAATGTAATGTAAAAATTTAACCCAACAGCTGGGCTAGTCCATATTTGACCCAAAGTTGGGTTGAAACAACCCAGCATTTTTTAGAGTGTACTAATAAAAGACAGTAATAGACAGCAATGATTCATGAAGAGAAATACTGAATGAAAAGATAAGTGGAGAGATTTTTGATACAATAAACAACTGAGGATCACACACTACCAGCCTTTCAAGTCATTCCAAACTCAACAAACTCACACAGAGACGTGTCCTTGTTGCTAAGAGATCCATGACAAATGAAAACAGTATGTGTTCTAAAATCGGCTCAAAATATCAAACATGTTTGATTTCCTCCGATTAGATGGAATCATAGTCTAAAGCTAAAAAATCTGTGTCTGTGACCATCATACATAACGTAATTAGGGGCCAAGCCCCAAAGGGGCTGTGGCCCCTATTGTATCTGTTATTTTATTTTTACCCAATGGGAGTCAATAGCAGACCTATAAAGGGAATATAGGAAAATTATGAAATTTGGCACACTTGTAGTGATGATCAAGAAATAGTGAACTGACCAACTTTGGGGTCCCTAGGACCAACTCTATAGCACCACCACCAGTTAAAAAATTGACTTTTGATTGTTATAACTTAAAATTGGCAGAGATTATCTTTAGACTGAGCTGCATAGAAATGACTGAACAGAATTTTATGTCCTACTGGTGAAAAAAAGAGTTATGAAGCTGTAAACTTAACAATGTTGACCCAAAATTGGTTCAGAGGGTGTATCTCGGCCAAATTTTGATAAATCGAAACGAAACTTGGTACGTTTCATCATAACCATGGCAACACCTATGGATCATGAGATACAAAAAAAAGCTATTTTTACTAATAACTTTTGAACTGTTAGTCAGAAAATTATGATCTTTGTGTCTATGGATTCCTTGGGTAATGTCGAATCTGTGGATGTCGATCAGACAAACCGCATGTCCGCCATTTTTAAATTTGTCATAAATTGCAATATCTTTTGAACTAATTAACACATCTAAAATTAGTAGGAATCATTGACAGCATGTCCCGCAGGTACCAAAGAAGTTTGAACACAGCGCCACCTACCATTCCAGAGATATAAAGATATTTGCAAAAACGCTTATAACTTTTGAAAACATTGTCCAAATTTTGTTATTTTTGAATCCTTTCATTCCGTGGATTCTGATGATTCTGACGATATCTCATTTCTTATTTTCCATTAATGTACCTGTCCGCCATAATGAAGTAAATGAAAAACAGTTTTTTCACTGGTCCTCCGACAAATTTTGTCCAATTTTGTCCAAAATCGGATCAGATGATCTTTGGACTGAGCCACACAGAAAGGACTGAACAGATTTTTGATATTCGCTACAGTTCCCGAGAAATACCTCTCTGAATTAGAACGTGCCTGCGTTTGTTGACTTATGCAAGTTAGCTTAGCATGCTAAATGGTTAACATGCTAACAGGTTGCCATTCTTTTTAATGTGGCTCTTCAGCTATCACGTTAACCATAAGCTACGTTAGCGTTAAGTTAGCTTTGCATGCTAATCTAGTTAACGTGCTATGGAACTTTTTTGTGAGCTCATTCTCGCACTGAAACCTCTCCTCAGCAGCCTGCTGAACGTGCATGAGTGACTGGCTCAATGGTTTCGCAACTCAGTGTGACACATGCCCAGACTGCAAAAGGTCATGTGGCAAGAAATGATGCAGAAGTTGATTCTGTTGCAGGCATTGTACCTTTCCAAGAATTATCTAATCTGAAACTATTAAATACGACATTCAGTGTATTTATGTACAAATTTATTATTTTGAATTGATACTCAGCTTAACTTCTGAACTTCAGCATCTGTGTGAACACCCATCTTCCCAGTGGTGCAACAAGATGGGTGACAGGCACTTGACCTGGAGATTCTCGTGTGGTGCAACTTTATGAAATTGTGTGTAATGTTGTGTCATTTTGATTAGTTTATTATCCAGATCAGCAGTGTACTAATCTGTATTCCTCCAGGATTAAAAAAATAAATATTTTTATTTATGCTGTGTTCATTTTCATTTGAACTTCTGTTCATTCTTACCTACAATTCTGAACCGGATGTTTTCCATGTTCATTCAATTTCTGCTGTTTTTGCTCTTCCTGCTCTGCACAGCGCTACAGCCCCTTCAGAGGCTTGGCCCTGTATCGCTGCTTGCAGCTATATTTTTTTATGAAACTGGTTAACTCATATCTGCAGTCTGGCTCTGACTTTTGGCAACTAGTGTCAACTTCCCCAGACTGTAAATCAGTGTAACAATCTGGGTTGTGTAGTGTATTCCAGCCTTTAGTGACCTATTTAAATCAGCAGAATTCCAAATGTTTGCAAGACATACAGTGGGTACGGAAAGTATTCATATGGGGTGCTGTGTGTACATTAATGAGGAAAAAAAATTAACTTAAATGATTTTAGCAAATGGCTGCAATATAACAAAGAGTGAAAAATTTAAGGGGGTCTGAATACTTTCCGTACCCACTGTATGTGAGAACGCAGCACTGGGCAAGTGAGCCCTGTGATTGTGAGACATCAGCAAGAGAACAAAGGATGCTGGGAAACTACAGGACTGCACACACAGTGGATAGAATCCTTCAAATGAACTGTGACTGTGAGATTTACATAAAAACCAATCACAAAAACCACTTAGCACAAAACAGGGTCCTCAAAGGCCATTTCATTCATTACCCACAGGCAGTGAATCACGATTGAGCCGAAAGGCCAAACATATTCAACCAGGTCTAGAGAAAATAGACCATTCTGTAATTATGCAAAGAAAGTTCTAATCTGCTCTTTTCAAGGCAGAAGCCCACAAAAAACATTTCTCTCCAAAACAAAGCCAGGCCACTTGGCAAATACTCATATTCCACCAAAGCAAAATGTCACATTTGAAAAAAAAAATATTTTTATAAACTGGAAGACTGCTGCCCTTTAAATGAGCTTTTTATGGATTTAGAAACACAGAAAAAGCAACAGAATAAATAAAACTACAAGTACCAGAAGGAATACTGAAAATATTAACAATGCAATTATTTTATATGCAGTGAGAAAAATGTCTATTCAGTAACAAAAAAACAAACAAAAAAAAAGCAAAAGAACTGATTTAGAAAAAGAAGTGAACAAGAGACTGAGTGAGAAAGTGAGAACATAACTATTTAATTAATCCCTTTGGAACAAGGGAGGAAAACAGGGGAAACTGAGTGAGATCTAAGTGATGACAGATATATGGGACAAGACAGTCGATGAAGAAGGGAAAACGTGATTAATGGAACGATAGAGGATGGAAGAAAGTGTGGCGAAAGCATCAATTATGCACAAAAGAGGTCTAAGTGGACACACAGAATACTCACCCCTTCTGCATCAGCTCAAACACTGCGGAAAGATCAGAGAGAAAGAGAGTCATTAAAGCAAAATGAGAGTGAAAAGACATTATTGATAAATCCATTATTCAGTGCACTTTATGAAATGAAATGTGATGTTCACAGTCCTCATATAGTATGTCATATCCTTAAATGACCCCGCTCTTTTTCACACATAAGTATGATGTGTGCTTTTATTCACACAATTGCACAGTGGTGTGAAGTCATTTAGGATTGTGTAGCAGTCCATCAGCACAAACACCTTATATTCATTGCTACAGTGTAAGTCAGAGCAGCCAACTACATTTGTCATACGTATGACACACTTATTCTACAGATTCTCTCTTCAGCCCTTCACTTCACACAGGCTGCACAGTTTGATCTGTTTGAAACACGCCACTGTCTGTTTTTCATTAAAAAGTAAAGTTTTGTAATGGTAAACCTCATACTGACAAAAGTTTTGCAGCGACAAAGTGCACAGAGGTCATTCTTTTTGAATGAGAGTTGGTGATCTGAGACGATATGAGTGACACTGATCTGACAAAAGTGAAGAGTTTCATTTTATGCAAAAGAGCAGTGATGTGATGAGACTACTAGCGATGGGAGTAAACAGCTGAATACTGCAACCAATGAACACATCTTTAGAAAAAAGAGTTAAGCATGGATGATGTGTAAATATAGGTTTAATGTTAATGATTAAAATACTAATACAATAGCAAAAAGTTTGGGGTCAGTAAGATTTTTTTTTTTATATTTAAGTCTCTTATACTATTATACAGTAAAAGCTGCAATATTGTAAACTATTACTACAACTTAAAATAGATGTTTTGTATTTTAATATATTTTAAAATGATTACTATGACCGCAATGTTGAATTTCCAGCAGCCATTACTCTAGTCTTCAGTGTCACATGATCCTTCAGAAATCATTCTAATATGCTGAAGTGGTGCTCAAAAAACATTTCTTATTATTATCAATGTTGAAAACAGTTGTGCTGCTTAATATTTTTTGTGGAAACGGTGATACATTTTTTTTCTCAGGATTCTTTGATTAATAAAAAAAGAACAGTATTTATTTGAAATAGAAATCTTTTGTAACAAAGGTTTGTACTGTCGCTTTTGACCAGTTTTAATGTGCTCTTGAATTCATTTTTTTTCTTTAAAAAAATCGTATTGACCCTAAACCTTTGTAAACTGTAGTGTAATTAATTGTACAACACAATGGGTCTAACGTAAGTTTCAGACTGAGCATGCACAGCTTTGACACAATGACAACTGATCTAGTGTTAGCTACTGCGAAAACACCATCATTTGCTGAATCTTTGACACATAGGTGGCATTTCACCACTAAAATTATACTTCAAAAAAAGAACATACCCATGTGAAGGTTGTCCTCCGCTGGATCATCCAGCACCTGAAATAGAAACTTTATTAAAAACACCACCTGCTTCAGGCACTGTATGATATTCTGTCCAGGTTTCTACGTCTAGGAAAATCTCTAACACCCATTAGTAGGTCCAGAGCAAATCTGACTTGAGTTTATCTTTTTTTACATTTATTTTCTTCACTGATTTTATTGGGAAAATCTGTGGAATTATTAAAAATGCTCAAATGTGTTATATATAACACAACTGTTATTAATAACTGACAGCTATTGTAGAATTTTGTGAATTAAATTAAATTCGCCCAAGTTCAGCAGACACAGATTCAGTGTGAGGCCCTGTCCACACGAACGCGGTTATTTTTAAAAAACGCAGCTTTTTCTACGCGGTTAGGCCGTTCGTCCACACACAAACGCAGCACCAGGTGACTGAAACCGAACATTTTTGAAAACGCCTGCCAGGGTGAAGATTTTCAAAAACTCCGGTTGCAGTGTTATCGCGTAGACAGCGAAACCGGAGTTTTTGGCTTGTGAGGTCGGCGCCTGCACTGTTATCTCCGCCTACTGGAGACTTTTTCAGGCTTCTGATTGGCCAACATGGCTTTACGGTTGAGATTATATCGCCACCTGTTGGTTTGGCATGCTCTTGACAGTGCTTCATAGCATGCATTTGCGTTTTCATGTGGACGGAGATTTTTTTTTTAAACGGAAGAAGGAAAAACTATATAAAAATACCCGTGTACGTGTGGACATGGCCTGAGTCTACCCATTACTACACGCCATATGGGATTTCAACATCAAAAAATAAGGGCATCTACAGCAGCAAACATTACAGAGGAGCTTTGTAGGGAAATGCTTTAACAACTACAGTATTAGGCAGAGAAAAACCTCAGACTGTCCAACAATACATATGAGAGACAACATTTTCAAAGACCATGTTTGATTATTTCCTTAGGTTGCTCAGCTATAAGGCTGTGTGTGCAAATATAATGTGATGAAAAAAAGCGTATGAAGCGTATATTACTCTACACCACTGCTTGTTGGAAAAAGTTGCTTGTTTCTGGACAAGCTCGATGGAAAAGTAACACTTAATTTAAAATAAATAAATAAACAGCCAAGCTACTGGCACAGCGCTGCTACATTTAGTTTTACACTGCGGATGAGATTTGATAAGCATCAGGTGCTTCATCCTTCACTGCCAGCAGAGCACCATTTCTGTGTTGCTCCTAAGGGCCACACACTCCTGCATTAAGACTATACTTGGGCCAGCAGTAGGTGATTGGAGTGTAGGTGGTTCCTCTGCCTCACTTTCTAAGTTTCCTTTAAACATTTTTCATGCTCGGATTCAATTTCTATCTCACATGCACTCTCTCACCCCTCTTTTCTAATTTTGCTGACGTGCATGGGTGCTGCTGTGAAAATGATGACAGATATGCAAGACAAGACACAGTCGATGAAGATGGGAAGAAGTGATTAATGAAACGATACAAGATGGAAGAAAGCGTGGCGAAAGCATCAATTATGCACAAAAGAGGTCTAAGTGGACACACAGAATACTCACCCCTTCTGCATCAGCTCAAACACTGCGGAAAGATCAGAGAGAAAGAGAGTCATTAAAGCAAAATGAGAGTGAAAAGACATTATTGATAAATCCATTATTCAGTGCACTTTATGAAATGAAATGTGATGTTCACAGTCCTCATATAGTATGTCATATCCTTAAATGACCCCGCTCTTTTTCACACATAAGTATGATGTGTGCTTTTATTCACACAATTGCACAGTGGTGTGAAGTCATTTAGGATTGTGTAGCAGTCCATCAGCACAAACACCTTATATTCATTGCTACAGTGTAAGTCAGAGCAGCCAACTACATTTGTCATACGTATGACACACTTATTCTACAGATTCTCTCTTCAGCCCTTCACTTCACACAGGCTGCACAGTTTGATCTGTTTGAAACACGCCACTGTCTGTTTTTCATTAAAAAGTAAAGTTTTGTAATGGTAAACCTCATACTGACAAAAGTTTTGCAGCGACAAAGTGCACAGAGGTCATTCTTTTTGAATGAGAGTTGGTGATCTGAGACGATATGAGTGACACTGATCTGACAAAAGTGAAGAGTTTCATTTTATGCAAAAGAGCAGTGATGTGATGAGACTACTAGCGATGGGAGTAAACAGCTGAATACTGCAACCAATGAACACATCTTTAGAAAAAAGAGTTAAGCATGGATGATGTGTAAATATAGGTTTAATGTTAATGATTAAAATACTAATACAATAGCAAAAAGTTTGGGGTCAGTAAGATTTTTTTTTTTATATTTAAGTCTCTTATACTATTATACAGTAAAAGCTGCAATATTGTAAACTATTACTACAACTTAAAATAGATGTTTTGTATTTTAATATATTTTAAAATGATTACTATGACCGCAATGTTGAATTTCCAGCAGCCATTACTCTAGTCTTCAGTGTCACATGATCCTTCAGAAATCATTCTAATATGCTGAAGTGGTGCTCAAAAAACATTTCTTATTATTATCAATGTTGAAAACAGTTGTGCTGCTTAATATTTTTTGTGGAAACGGTGATACATTTTTTTTCTCAGGATTCTTTGATTAATAAAAAAAGAACAGTATTTATTTGAAATAGAAATCTTTTGTAACAAAGGTTTGTACTGTCGCTTTTGACCAGTTTTAATGTGCTCTTGAATTCATTTTTTTTCTTTAAAAAAATCGTATTGACCCTAAACCTTTGTAAACTGTAGTGTAATTAATTGTACAACACAATGGGTCTAACGTAAGTTTCAGACTGAGCATGCACAGCTTTGACACAATGACAACTGATCTAGTGTTAGCTACTGCGAAAACACCATCATTTGCTGAATCTTTGACACATAGGTGGCATTTCACCACTAAAATTATACTTCAAAAAAAGAACATACCCATGTGAAGGTTGTCCTCCGCTGGATCATCCAGCACCTGAAATAGAAACTTTATTAAAAACACCACCTGCTTCAGGCACTGTATGATATTCTGTCCAGGTTTCTACGTCTAGGAAAATCTCTAACACCCATTAGTAGGTCCAGAGCAAATCTGACTTGAGTTTATCTTTTTTTACATTTATTTTCTTCACTGATTTTATTGGGAAAATCTGTGGAATTATTAAAAATGCTCAAATGTGTTATATATAACACAACTGTTATTAATAACTGACAGCTATTGTAGAATTTTGTGAATTAAATTAAATTCGCCCAAGTTCAGCAGACACAGATTCAGTGTGAGGCCCTGTCCACACGAACGCGGTTATTTTTAAAAAACGCAGCTTTTTCTACGCGGTTAGGCCGTTCGTCCACACACAAACGCAGCACCAGGTGACTGAAACCGAACATTTTTGAAAACGCCTGCCAGGGTGAAGATTTTCAAAAACTCCGGTTGCAGTGTTATCGCGTAGACAGCGAAACCGGAGTTTTTGGCTTGTGAGGTCGGCGCCTGCACTGTTATCTCCGCCTACTGGAGACTTTTTCAGGCTTCTGATTGGCCAACATGGCTTTACGGTTGAGATTATATCGCCACCTGTTGGTTTGGCATGCTCTTGACAGTGCTTCATAGCATGCATTTGCGTTTTCATGTGGACGGAGATTTTTTTTTTAAACGGAAGAAGGAAAAACTATATAAAAATACCCGTGTACGTGTGGACATGGCCTGAGTCTACCCATTACTACACGCCATATGGGATTTCAACATCAAAAAATAAGGGCATCTACAGCAGCAAACATTACAGAGGAGCTTTGTAGGGAAATGCTTTAACAACTACAGTATTAGGCAGAGAAAAACCTCAGACTGTCCAACAATACATATGAGAGACAACATTTTCAAAGACCATGTTTGATTATTTCCTTAGGTTGCTCAGCTATAAGGCTGTGTGTGCAAATATAATGTGATGAAAAAAAGCGTATGAAGCGTATATTACTCTACACCACTGCTTGTTGGAAAAAGTTGCTTGTTTCTGGACAAGCTCGATGGAAAAGTAACACTTAATTTAAAATAAATAAATAAACAGCCAAGCTACTGGCACAGCGCTGCTACATTTAGTTTTACACTGCGGATGAGATTTGATAAGCATCAGGTGCTTCATCCTTCACTGCCAGCAGAGCACCATTTCTGTGTTGCTCCTAAGGGCCACACACTCCTGCATTAAGACTATACTTGGGCCAGCAGTAGGTGATTGGAGTGTAGGTGGTTCCTCTGCCTCACTTTCTAAGTTTCCTTTAAACATTTTTCATGCTCGGATTCAATTTCTATCTCACATGCACTCTCTCACCCCTCTTTTCTAATTTTGCTGACGTGCATGGGTGCTGCTGTGATTGAAGAGCACTCAGACGGAACCACAGGGGGAGAGAAGGAAAGGTGCTTTTCTCCTTCAGCATCCCTCCATTCTACCTTCCTTTTCTTCATCCTGAGATCGATCGCACTCCTCTCCACATCCCATTCTCAGGAGCATTAAGCGTGTCTCTGTTCAACAGATTTACTCCTAGCTGATTTTCAATGCTGCTATTATTTTGTCCCCTCTTTGGCGCAAATTACATAATGACACATGACTAGTCCAAAATATAGCTTGGTTATTGAGCTGTTAGTGCAGTTGAATTCACTTCCTTCCAAATTTCATCTCTCTGTGTTTTTGTTATTTTATTATTTACTATTTCATTTTTTATCACACCTGGCTTTTCCTGAGACCCAGTGTCTTTACAAATAACTACAGCAGAAAATATGGTGTAAACAACATTTAATTATGGCGTAAACAAATAATAACACATTTAGAAGGAAGGATTTTCTGAAGCAAAGAAGTTAGTTTGTTCATTTGTTTGTTTATTCTGAAGGATATTCAAAAGGGAAGTTTGTTTGTTCATTTATTCATTGAGAAGAAAGTTTACTCAGTATGAAGGAAGAAAGGGATTCTGCGTTTGTTCGTGGTAAAGAATGGAAGAAAGGAAGGATGGAAGTTTTAAAGCACGCTTCTTCAGAAGGAAATAAGTTTGTTGAGAAGAAACCAAGCTTTTACATTAAGAAAGAATCAAGAAAAGAAAGTAAGTTTGCACTGAAGCTTGCATGGAAGGAAGAAAGGAAAGAAGGAAGGACATTCAAAGGAAAAAAGTTTATTTAATAAGAAGTTTGTTTGGAAGGAAGAAAAGAACATTTAGAAGAAAAGAACAGAAGTTTGTTTATTATTATTTTCACTATTAATTAGCAGAAGTTCATTAATAGTGGATTACATGAATGAATGAATATGGCCACAATCCTTACCTCAACCAGTTTAACTATGTTGAGGTGGTCCAGTTTTTTCAGGATAGCTATCTCCTGGTAAACTCTCTCCAGAGGACCAAGCACTTTGGGCTGCTCCCCCTGGGCTGCTTTAGGACCTCGGGGAGGAGGGCGGCCTGCAAAGTGAAAGAAAAAAAGCAACTAAGAATGCTGCTTCATTTAAATATGGAATTCTTCAGCTGGTTTAGAGGACTGCCTCAACATCTGCCTCACAGGACAACATCTGCTGTGCATAACATCTGCATACATCTGGTTTCAAATGAGATCTTAATTTAAATGCCATACATACGGGGAAAACCGTACTGTTTCATCAGCTTCTTCTTAGACACCACTTTCATTGCCTACAAAACAAGTAAGATACAGATGAAAAGAGTCAATCAGACAATCTTGCCAACACTAAGCTCTGAACTACAGTATTCTACACAGAGGTGATCTCAAACACATATTTCCATCGAGTCTAGTGGGTGACATAATCTTCTGAATTTTTCCATTTGCATACTAATCAAACAAAGCTTTCACAGGGTTCAATCAACTGCGGCCCTCTCGCTTCTGGCCTTGATGGGACACTCGAGATTCCTCTCACAGCAGTGCTCCTGCGTAGGTGATTGCTAAAGTGAATGCGGAAATTTGGTCACAAACAGTGAGAGACACTATAAGAAGCAAGCAGACCAAAGTGCTTGTGGTTTGTAAATCAACTTGGGCTTTTCTAAAGAAAAGAAACAAATAGGTTGTGCACGTTCAACCGCTGATGCTTGGATCAGATGTCTTTGTAAGCAATTCAAATCTTAATCAAATCAATTGCTTTTGGCACACAGAACTGGGCTTTTCAAATCTATACTTCATGGGAAACACATATGGAGTCATCTGTTTCTTTTTACAATGGAAGATGTTCATTATTGAAGAATTGTGCACCTGTGTCTTTTCTGCTGGGATGAAAGGCACAGAGATGTACACGGTGCGCTAATAGAAAATTTGGAGACTTATGTAAACATGGTAAGTGCTCTCTCTCAATCTCTGCCACTCTGCTCATTACAGTCAGAAAATGGCAATACAACAGGCTGCCAGTTTCTAACACCTGTGGAAAACATGAGGTTTCATAATGAGTGAGTTATGGACAATTTCAAAATTCATCTTTGTCCTTCATTTTTCATGCTATAAAATCCAATATCTCAGAATAATAAATGTTCAAAACCTACAGCTACAATAAAAATGGCCGTTCATCTTAAAAATGAAAGTACGCAACTTTAGACGTGAATCCATAAGTTAGCAAAAAGAAAGAGTGCTTTTCTCCTCCCTCTCAAGGACAGCTGGGTGAGGTTACGTCTGTTGTGCTGACGAGTTTAAATAACTCATTTCATCATAGAGTGAAGAGGAAACCATGAATGGTTTATGAACATGTTAGAGGTGAGCACGATGAAAGAAAATTGCTATTTAGAATGCAGCAGGGACCGAAAGATCTGAAGCATCAGAATGTAAACGACTGGGAAATGATGGGATGAATCAGCAAGTAAGCAATGCATAAATACAGTTTGCTGTGGGAGGTGATGGATCTATATTTACTTTAAACTATGAAAAATACAGTGGGGTCAATAAGTGAAAATGCCTCTATTTTGCAATATTAAATAATTATATATATATAGCTTTTCTACTCGCTACTTTTCTGTCGTTCCTTTTTTGCTAATGCTTAAGGCTACACGTATTTGATCAAAAATACAGTAAAAACAGTAATATTGTGACATATTACAATATTATTGTTTTCTATTTTTATATATTTTAAAATGTAATTTATTCCTGTGATGACAAAGCTCAACTTTCAGCAGCCATTATTCCAGTCTTCAGTGTCACATGATCTTTTAGAAATAATTATAATATGATGATGAGGAGTGCAAGGAACATTTCTAGAAATATAACATTACTATCAGTGTCAAAAACAGTTATACATTATATTATAAATTACATTGTAATTAACCATATTAACAATACATTGTAATGTACCATAAATAAAACAATCAAGACAATAATGCAACACTTCTGACATTTCATTTAATAACATTTATATAATATTATTCAAAGGTTTGTTTTCTACAGCAAAACCCATATTGCTTTCATAAATTGAGTTTGAATGACAAGACAAATATCAAACTGAATGGTTTCTGAAAATTATATTTCAACTACGGTGGAAAAAGAGTGAAAGAAAACGGTCAGATGTTGCAAAGAGGAGAAAAATTACAGAAAAATGAAGAACAAGATATAATTTCAGGATTCATTCTACCTGTAAAGTAAAAAAGAGATACTGTAGGTTTGTGAGGCCAGTGGAGTGTAAAGGCCAGAGACGGGGCAGCCTCACTCTACTCTGCCTTTATGAAGGGATTTGATCTCTGTCCTCTATTTAACCTTGCTATTAAATATCCACACAGCATGAATTAATGAATGCAGATAGGAACTGGGAGCTATATTTTGCTTTCAGACACACTGTCTGTTATGACAGATGATTATGTGGAGGAGAGGAAAATATTCAAATGTGATCAGGAGACCTGCAAAAAGACGAAATACAAACAAGGGAGAAAAATAGCATTATTAGGTACACGTAATACCAAATAAAATGCCCTTTATATACTGATAAATGACGTCATCTTGGATTTTGATCATACTATGTGAATTCTTCAGAAAAACCAAGAATTGTTTTTTTTCCCCCCACTGTTGAGCCATCCAGTTTACAGCTCATATATATAGTCCATCAGAAGAGGATCTGGGAACAGCCTTCTGCTGTTGAAAGCCCATTCTCTTCAAGGTTATGATTTCAGCTGTGCCTTTCTCCAGTTGTGAGAAGTGCTAGTTTGAGTGTTTGTGGCCTTTTTCTCAGCATGAAGGAGTCTGACCAATCTCATCTAACCTCTCTCATTTATAAAGTGTTTTCATCCAGTGAATAGGCTCTCAATAGATGTGATTTTATTTAGCACTACTCGTACATTCTGGAGATAGCGGTGCGCACAAGAGTCTGTCCATCCGACATATCAGAGACTCTGAAAGCACCCTGTCTAGCACCAACAACATGTCAATCAAAGTCTTTTACACCATGTGTCCCTTATTTAGCATCTAAACCTTTTGAGCATTTTTACATCCTTTACACACATTCCATATAGTCTCTCTATTAAAGGAATAGTTTACTCAAAAATGAAAATTTTGCTGAATATTTACTCACCCTCCAACCATCCAAGATGTAGATGTTTATTTTAATTATTATTATTGGAACAGATTTGGAGAAATTTATCATTGCATCCCTTGCTCACCAATGGATCCTCGGTGGTGAATGGGTGCCATCAGAATGAGACAAACAACTGATAAAAACATAATAACAATCCACAAGGAATCAAAGGACTCCAGTCCGTTAATTAACATCTTGTGAAGTGAAAAGCTGTGAGTTTCATCATTAAGACGATTAATACAAGTGATGTAATGCTAAATTTCTCCTAATCTGTTCTGATAAGGAAAAAAAACTCATCTTGGAAGGCCTGAGCGTGAGTACATTTTCAGCAAAATGTCACTTTTGGGTGAACTATTCCTTTAATATGAACTTATAAAAAATACACAATCAAAATACAATTTAAAAATGCTGAGTACTTTTATGTCACACTGCAAGAAATTTCAAGGTATTCAGCTATTCTGACACATTGTTTCCAACTGTTAGGCTCCCATATGCCACCTCCATACACACAGATAAACAGCTTTAACTTATTTTATGCTCATTAATTCTGAAAATCTCACTTTCTGTCATGTACCTCTTCTTGAAAAGCTTGAAAAATATCTTATTTACTTCCTGTGGGGACCCGATTAGCACATTTGGAAACTAATAATTCCTACTGTAGGGCTAGGTGACAAAATATTACTTTTTAACAATATTATATATATATAGTATTTACATTTTATTCCTGTCCATATTGTTTATTTTGATGTTTCTGCATTTCAGTTCACAATCAGGATCACACCGCAGAACAATTTCCATGTTTTGCTTACAAAAATGCTAAAAAAACATCAAATGTAAACTTGAACAGAACCTTTTATGCTTGTGTTCTTTGCGGTCCAACTAATGTATAAAGAATAAGAGAAAAATGATGAAATAAGGCATTTTTCTCTGAGGACAGTAAAATGACATCTTCCTGTATGTCTATCTATGTGTATGTGTGTTTGCTCAGTTATGTACATATTGTGATCAACAGTGATGGTGTTTGGGGGCAGATATAAACAGCTCCAAATGAAATTAATGACTGCTACACAGTCCTGCCATTTCTGTTATATCACAACCCTTCCCCATCTGCTCTCATTTTTATAACCGTTCAGTCTATCCTGCCTCTCCTCCATCATCCTCTCTGTCAAGCCGCTTTTCTCTTCCAATCTCTTTTGCCTAGTATATTGTTTTTTAGCTTTACTTTACATTTTCACTTTTCCACAATATGCACACTTCATAACTGTTTTTAAAGCTTAACTGTGTCATTTTTGCACAACTATAGCATCACGACTTCCGCTGCTGAGAAACCCGGAAATGTGAAAAGGGTCCATAACAGAAATGTGACAATCCTAGCTTTCTAGTAGCTGGAATGCACTGTAAATCTTGTAGCATTATAAAGCAGATAAAAAGAGACCTTTATGTTTATTTAAAAAAAAATAATTTGAAAATGTGAAAAAATGAAATTTGAAAAATGAAAACATCAACAAACTGCCATTGTCTTTAGATTCATTATGTGTTGTGCTGTACTGAAAAAATGTGGTTTTAAAACTTAGGTATATAATAAAAGATGGATTTACAGTGCAGTTACATCCCTGCTCAACATCATTTCAGAACTTGCACACATATTAAAACAAAGATTCCGAGAAACAGGAAGAAAGACTATAGTGGTAACAGCAAAAATCAGAGGAAGTTAAGAGAGGAAGAACCTCATTGGAGGAGGAATCTCGCTGAGAATGCACTGACAGATGAGGATACATATACACACATTTCTGATTAAAGTACAGTTTGACTTTTTTTGTTTATTTACAGATAATGGTGAAATGAGAAGAACAAAAAAAAACTAAAGACGGAGGGGTAGAGAGAGAAAGAGAGAGAGAGAGGGCAGAAGAGAGGGACACTGGACTCTTGGCTGAGTCCAGACTATTACTGGCACAAGCTCAGTGAGCCCTGCATTGCAGTAAACCCACACCTGCACTCACACACACACACACACACACACACACACACACACACACACACACACACACACACACACACACGCACACGCACACGCACACACACGCACGCACGCATACACACACACACACACACTCACACAGATGGTCAAAACTCACCAAGAACAATAGCTTAAAAATGATTATAGATGGA